TCCTCTGAATTCTATGCCCTGGCACTCTCATTTCCCTAGCCCTCAATTCCCAGACATCGTGAATGCCCCAGGAACCCAATCCACATCCTGCACCCATTACACCCAACTTTATAATCCCTGACTCTTTCTCCTGGGTGCTTTAGCTGACTAAATCCACTGCCCTTCCAGCTGTCTCACTGTTCTCAGCCCATTTGGCCTTCCTGTCCATCTCCATAGTTTCCCCTAGTGCCATCTCCTTTTCCTACCTTGTATCCAAGTTGGATTGTTATCTTCTACCAAGATCTGCCTAACCTATCTGAATTCACCTTCTCCCCACACTAGCTTTTTTTTTTTTTTTTAATTAGTGTTATGATAGATTACAACCTTGTGAGATTTCAGTTGTACATTATTGTTAGTCATGTTGTGGGTACACCACTTCCCCCTTTGTGCCCTCCCCCCACCCCCCCTTTTCCCTGGTAACCACCGATCAGATCTCCTTATCAATATACTAACTTCCACCTATGAGTGGAGTCATATAGAGTTCGTCTTTCTCTGACTGGCTTATTTCGCTTAACATAATACCCTCGAGGTCCATCCACGTTGCTGTGAATGGGCCAATTTTGTCTTTTTTTATGGCTGAGTAGTATTCCATTGTGTATATATACCACATCTTCTTTATCCAATCATCAGTTTCTGGGCATGTAGGTTGGTTCCACGTCTTGGCTATTGTAAATAATGCTGCGGTGAACATAGGGGTGCAATGGACTCTTGAGATTTCTGATTTCAGGTTCTTAGGATAGATACCCAGTAATGGGATGGCTGGGTCATAGGGTATTTCTATTTTTAACTTTTTGAGAAATCTCCATCCTGTTTTCCATAGTGGCTGTACCAGTTTGCATTCCCACCAACAGTGTATGAGGGTTCCTTTTTCTCCACAACCTCTCCAACATTTGTCACTCTTGGTTTTGGATGTTTTTGCCAATCTAACGGGTGTAAGGTGATATCTTAGTGTAGTTTTGATTTGCATTTCCCTGATGATTAGCGATGATGAACATCTTTTCATGTGTCTATTGGCCATATTCATATCTTCTTTTGAGAAATGTCTGTTCATGTTCTCTGCCCATTTTTTGATCGGGTTGTTTGTTTTTTTGTTGTTAAGCCGTGTGAGTTCTTTGTATATTATGGAGATTAACCCTTTGTCGGATAAGTGGCTTGTAAATATTTTTTCCCAATTAGTGAGCTGTTTTTTTGTTTCAATCCTGTTTTCCCTTGCCTTGAAGAGGCTCTTTAGTCTGATGAAGTCCCATTTGTTTATTCTTTCTATTGTTTCCCTCAACTGAGGAGTTATAGTGTCTAAAAAGATTCTTTTGAAACTGATGTCAAAGAGTGTACTGCCTATATTCTCTTCCAGAAGACTTATTGTCTCAGGCCTAATCTTTAGGTCTTTGATCCATTTTGAGTTTATTTTGGTGTGTGGTGAAAAAGAATGGTCAATTTTCAATCTTTTGCATCCCACACTAGCTTTTTTAAATGCTCCAGTAACTGGCCTTTCCTCAATTTTTCCCATTAATTTCCCATCCCCATTAGCACTTCTGTTCCTGTGACTCTCTGCCTTCTTTAAGTCCCAAGATGCCAACATCCCTGCTACCTCCACTTCCTTGCACACTTGCTCTTTTATCCTTGGCTTTCCACTTCAATATTTCAGCAACATTAAAATTCCTTTGCCTTTTCTCTCTATGCCCACTCTCTTGCGCTGTACTCCCTATTACTGGAACCTCTCAGGCTCTCCACACCCCCATATTATTTTTATGTCTTCTTTGTTCTGAGGCCTATTCTTGTTCCACTCTGTCACATACTCACATGCTGTCACTCCCCTGCACACTCCAAGTTACCCAGTATGTGTCTCAATGTAAAGTGACAGTGCTCAGGGCACATCTGAAGAGTTGTGCATTGTGATTGTTGCAGGTTTAGGAGGGCTATAAGGGTAGGAAAGGCCCATTTTTCAGGCATTCAGAAGTCTGGAGATACAACTATTCTTCTGTATAAGATTGTATGACTGAGATATGCACATGCATGGTGACCGTAATACCGCTAATCTTCTGAATCAGGTCGTGTAAATGAGCTACACACATGCATGGTGACTATGACTTTAGGAAAGTGTGTAATCAGGATTTTAGGAATGTGTGTATGGAAGAGTATTTCCATATGGGAGTGTGAATTTTCGTGTGCTTAATGTGTGCAGTAACGTTTCTGAGTATGCAAATTAGTATGAGTATGTTAAGTGCCTGCATGTGTATAATTCTGTGAATGTATGTGACTGTATGCGTGAGTGAATGTGTCTGCATGTGTGTGTCTGCATCTGTGTGTAAATGAGTTTGTGCATGCGTGTAGGGTCGGTTGTCCACTATTATGGCTGTAACAACCAACTTGACAATTGGGAGAAATAGCATAGTGAAGCTGGATCCAAGAGTCAACTTGCATGTAGGAGAACCTGAAGAATTAAATTTGCCTCATAATTTATATTTGCTTTTTGTATCTTGAGCCTTTAGAAATAGGTTTCCTAATTAAAAAGCAGTCATAGTACCTTACTGAAAATACTGCAGAATGTGTAGAGGACTGTGTTGACTCTCAGATGGTCTTGAATTAAGGAAGCAACCTAATCTGATAGTTACAAGAGTGGTGGAGTCTGTCTGTTAAAACATCTGATCCTGGGTTTTCCTTGTGAGGGACTGTTTTAGAATCTTGTCTCTTTCTTCTATGGATATTAGTCTGCTTCTCCTTCCTGTCACTACTGGGGGTCAACATTGACAGACTGTCCAGACAGTTCACATATTACTTGATATTGAGTTGCACAAATGAGTGCAATAATGTCTAATGTAAATTTTTGGCATCATGTTCTTGTTACTTATATCTCTCTTTAAATCCTTCTCACATATTTTGACAAATTCCACTTCTTTGCTTATAATTGATTTTATGAGGTAGCTCAATTATATAAATTAGGATAGAACTCACTTCTAGGTAGAACCTCTCAGTGAGGCAAAACATTGTGTGAGAAAAACATAGTCACCAGCAGTCCCCCCTGTGTCAGACCTAAGGATTTCCTGCTCTCCTCCATGTGAGACACTGTCTGCCTCCAGGGATCGTGGAAAAGTAAGAGTCTCTCACAAACACTCCAACAGTCTCTTAAGAGATGCTAACTAGAAACTTGTAGTTGTTGTTCATAATTAGCACTTGTGAAAAAAATTTTCAAAAATATTCTCAACTCCCAAGCCTGTTACTGCCAATGCTGCTAGCAGGGAAATGATAATTGCAATTCTTAGGAGAGGTGAGGTCACAGACTCACAAACTCATATCTCAGGGTCTAGCTACCCCTCTTGCACGTCTACTGACTACTCTGACCTTCTTGATGAACCCACCATCCAGGCAGTAGGAAAAAGTTGGTAAGTTTTCTCTATGTTCATCTGAGAGGCAGAATCTGTAAGGAGAGTAATTGTATCAGGAGTCTGGGTGAGTGAACATATTGGACAAAGGGAACTTCCTGCATTTGATCCTGGTCCAGCACTAAAGTCACTTAGGAAGGTGGAATCAATCCTGAGGCATGAGCTGAGCTAGTTTAGAGAGATGGGGTCCTAGACTTTCCAGCAATCTTTGATGTCTCCTAAGGTATGTTTTTAGTCCTTACTGACATTGTTTGTTGTGTTTTAGTCCAAGGGATAATGAAATCTGATTTTTAATGTGCTTAAGGACTGTTCTGGAGTCAATCTGCTGTTCAGACTACTTTATAGGAATCACAGACAAAATTTCAGGTTTCCAGAGGTGCATGCGTAACTCCATGCTGATAATAAAGAATAGGATGAACCTACAGAATCATCTGATCCTGTGCAGAAACAGTCTGTCTGATAGCAGTTTCTGGAATAGAAATGTTTTCTCTAACTCCAGGTGTATGAAGTGCTTAATAGATTGCATAAGCGTCTCTACTGCTTATGAAGAGACTTTCCCCATGTAAAGTGAGGGGAGCGGTGTTTAAGAAAAACATACTGTTGTAAGTTTTGGACAATATTTTCCGGCTCAAACGTATTATGTTACGTTTGATGCCTTTAAGTATTATAATACCAATCCAAAAAATGTATGTCATTAATATCGTACACAAGGTTTTTGCCTTAACTTTGCATTTTGTATGTGTCTTGTACTTTAATATCTTCCCAAAACTTTCCTTAGTGCTAATAATTTTAACTCAAGTATTAATAAACAGACATGTGCATGTTCCGAAATTAGTATTACTTGGCTTCTATTAGACAGTGTTCATCAGACATCAGTGTTTCATCTCTCCTAGTTCCTGTGAATCAGGCCATTTTACTTATGTTCCTGGGATAAAAGCAAACGTTTCTGTTGCCATCCTAAGGTTAAGCCATTCTTACATTCATTAAAGCCAACTTTTCCAGATGCAGGATCCTGCATTTTATACTGCAACCAGGGAATCTACATTTTATTAAGATCTCTAAAGCTTTATTCAAAATTTATATTTGCCTATAGAATAAGTCTTTATAAATAAGAAGAAACTAGTCATGACCAATTTTTTTAAATAGAATATCACTCATCTAAATTGAACAGACAAGGTGCAAACACAAAGCTAAATTTAGATCTGGTTTGTTTGAAGAACCCAGCTAAGTGGTGTTTTAGTATATTATGGATTAAATACACTATCTTTGCTATCAGCCCAGCCAGGTTCAAATTCCCACTTTGCCCCTAACCAGTGAACAAATTTAAAGAAAACACTTCACCTCTCATTGCCTGTGTTTTCCCCTTCTTTATCAGGAATGTAACAGTGCTTCACTACATAGTAATTTGTGAAGAATAAAGAAATTACAGCATGTGTTGCCTTCATGGTAGTGATTCCTACATTGCAAGGGTTTTTAATTGTTATACTTTCAACTCTTGGAAGCCTGCAAATGACATGAAAGTAAGTAATTTCATAAAAGTAGGGACTCTTCGTAAGAGGCAAATATTGGATTTCAGTTGACATGATACATGTAGACCGTGACTCATATCCCCTTGCAGGATTTTCTAGCTCAGAAGACAAATATCTGTCATTGACTACTGACAGGAAGGCCTCTAGAGAATTAGTAGTAGGAATTATCTTGTCATTACAGACCACATTCGGAATCCTGGGGAATTTCTCTCTTCTTTACCATTATCTTTTCCTTTATTTCACTGGGTCTAGGCTAAGATCCACCGACTTGATTGTCAAGAACCTGATTGTAGCCAACTTGTTGGTTTTATTGTTTAGCGGAATCCCCCATACAATGTCATCTTTTGGGTGGTATCAGGTTTACAGTGATTTTGGATGCAGATTTTTTTTATATTTTCGTGGAGTAGGAAGGGGTGTGTCCATCAGCACCACCTGCCTCTTGAGTGTCTTCCAGGCCATCATGATCTGCCCCAGAAAGTCCGGGAGGGCAGATCTTAAAGAGAAAGCTCTCAAGTGTGTTGTCCCATCAATTTCCCTGTGCTGGGTCCTGCACATGCTGGTAAATGTCCTCTATCCTATGTTTGTGAGCAGCAATTGGGGGAACAAAAACATCACAAACCAAAAATCATTTGGATACTGTTCTGCTGTTCGTCATGACAAAACCAGAGACTCATTATATGCAGCATTGCTATCAGTCCCTGATGTTTTCAGTTTGGTGCTCATGATGTGGGCCAGCGGTTCCATGGTTTTCATACTGTACAGGCACAAGCAGAGGGTGAAACACCTTCATAGGACCAATGTCTCCTCCAGATCCTCCCCGGAGTCCAGAGCTACCAAAACCATCCTTCTCCTGGTGAGCACCTTTGTGTATTTTTACACCCTTTCTTCCATCTGTTATGTATGTTTGGCTCTCTTTCACAATCCTAACTGGTTTATTTTAAAAATCAGTTCAATAATTTCTCTGTGTTTCCCAACTGCCAGCCCTTTTCTGTTCATGAGCTGTGATTCCAGTCTATTCAGGCTCTGCTTTGCCTGGATAAGGAATACGAAATTCCTTAACCTTCTGAGAAATCTGTGAATTCTATATATTTGGGCAATGTTTATTTGGCAATTCCCTCATCCTCTTCAGAGTTCTAAGTAAAATTATGAGTAGGTGACCAGAGACTATAAACAGGACATGCTGAGTGTCTTCTTTAAATGAAACAATAACATATAATAGTAATTGCAAGGAAATATTGTATATTTATAATGTAAATACTTATGTGATTAAAGTTTTCCTAATGATTTCTGTGGGGGAGTGCAGAATTTATGCAATAGTAAAACCAGGTCCTGAAAGAATCTGGATATTATGGAGATTTTTTTTGTGTGTAACTTAAATCTCTCACAATGAATCCCCAGAAAAGAACTGGTCAAGGAATTTTAAGAAAAGGTACTTGAAAATAGAACACCATGTGTCATATCAATACTGAAACTGAAGACCATAGTGCTGGAGGGGAAACTCAATCAGTGAGTAAAGCTTTTTAGAGCCAGATATGTGTTTTGTACATTCCATCCTTAGAGAAGTGGTCATCATTTATTTGAAATATGATGTTATGAAGGGAGGTGAGCACATTTACACATTTTCGGGTAGAAATGGTCAGGTTGAACTGGAGTGGGGCAAAAGAGTTCAAAAAATTACATTTTAGCTGATTTGTAAACAATATCACGTAAGTGTGCCAATTTCAACAGAAATGAATTGCAAGGAATTGGGATCTGTAGAAGACAGATTTTTCTTTTTTTTGTGAAGTTGATTTGGGCGTGTTGGCAAGAGAGAGGTTTAAAGGTTCATACCCCTGTCTCTAAAGTGATGAAATTAGTTTATGGTGGAGACTTCCATTAAATTTGGAGCACTGTTGGGAGAGCCATTGGAAAGAGAAAGACATGGATCCATTCTATTTATGTGGAGTTTATGGCTCCTTTATTTTCTGGGAGGAAAGTGGATATTTCTTCAATTTTGGGGAGAGATTTTCTTGCAGTTTTCTCTGTATTTACATTCTGAAGCTGATCCAAAGTTTTGAGAATTCAGCAGTTTGAAAAACAAATAAATTATTTTGACCTAATGGATATATATATTCAACCTTGTACCGCTAAGAGAAGCCCATATTTTTGACTCAAAAGAGACACATACATTTACCAGAAATTAGATCACAAAGGAAGGAGAAGGGAAAATGGAAACATACAGAAACACCTTTACTTACAATTGTGTGTATAAATATATTTACATGTTTATGTGTGATCTATGTGTATCTATATATTTATATGTATGTACATATACATATAAAGATATAAAATAAATTGTGTTTGTTATCCATTAGTAAATATATTGGAAACAAGTACCTTAAGAAAAATTTGAAATAATCATTTTAATTATTTATTAAATAATATATGTAATTATTAATTACAATAATGACAAATCATAAAGTACATATTATCTGATATGTATATTATGATGCTAGTTGTTTAATTGTTAAAATGCCATAATTTATTTTCTGTATTCCTGCTTTAATTCTGTTATGTGGCCATATCTTCAAAAACATTCAACGAATGTAGTAAAAACTGATTTTAAAACAAGTAATTGGTCTATTTGAATTTAATATAATAATTGATACCTTTCAATATTGATAGAATTTTTCTTATTTTATCTATTTTAACTACATTTTATTAATATTTAAATATGTCTATATTATGATTCCACCTAATAATCTGCCACTTTCCTTTGAAAATTATATAATCATTACATGTTAATTTTTTCCTTAGAAATTTCAGCATACATTTAAAGCCAGTCACAGTGTCATTTTATGCAATACTTAAACCCCACCTTTTCAAGATAAGGACATTACAATACTCATCTATTCACCATATGCCACTTTTTGATCGGTGATTGCTAGTTTAAAAATTTAGACACATGCACAGGTCATAAATGTATAGCGCAATGAAAGCTGACGAAGTGAAACATTTCTGTACTCTGTATCTAGACCAATCAAGGGAATATTGTCAGACCCCCGGAAGTTCCTCTTGTTCCCTCCCAGTCCGTGCTCCTCAGGGAATCACTGCTCTGACAGCTAACAGCAGATGTCAGCTTAGCCTTTTTTGAAACCATAGAGCATTAACTCTTTTGTATTTGGCTATTGTTGAGTCTTTATGTTGTTTGTGAATGTATTGCTGCATGCTGTTACGGACTATTTATTTGCATTTCTGGATAGGTTTCTATTCTATGAATATAAAACAATTAATTTAATCATTCCACTGTTAAAAAGCATATGGGTGGTTTTCAGTTTGAGACTATTAAGAACAATGCTGGTGGGGCCAGCCCAGTGGTGGAGCAATTATGTTTGTGTGCTCTGCTTTGTTGTCCTGGGTTTGCCAGTTTGGATCCTGGGTGCCGACCTGCCAAGTGGTTATCAAGCCATGCTGTGGCACGGATTTTAGCTCAGGACCAATCTTCCTCAGCAAAAAGAGAAGGATTGGCGGCAGAACTTAGCTCAGGGCCAATCTTTCTTCTTCTTCAAAAAAGAATGATGCTGGTATGCAAGTTTAGGATATGTTTTATGACACGCATACAAATTTCTATTGGCTGTATATGCAATAGTGGAATTGTTTGGTGACAAGATTACATCTATGTTTAAAAGTAGAAGTTGGAGCAAGAAAAATATAAGAAACAGAAAAAGTTTTGGATACTGTTCTGCTGTTCATCATGACAAAACCAGAGACTCCTTATATGCAGCATTTCTAACAATCCCTGATGTTTTCTGTTTGGTGCTGATGATCTGGGCCAGCAGCTGCATAGTTTTCATCCTGTACAGCCACAACCAGAGGGTCCAGCACATTCATAAGGCCAACGTCTCCTCTAGATCCTCCTCTGAGTCCAGAGCTACTAAAACCATCCTTCTTGTGGTGAGCGCCTTTGTCTATTTTTACACCCTTTCTTCCATCTTTCAAGTGTGTTTCACTATTTTTTAACAATCCTAAGCAATTTCTCTTGAATACTACTGCAATCATGACTATGTGTTTCCCAACTGCCCACCCATTTCTGCTCATGAGCCATGACTCCAGTGTATCTTAGCTCTGCTTTGCCCGTGTAAAGAAGACAAAATCTTATGGGAAATATGTGAATTGTATGCATTTGCACAATGTTTATTTGGTAATTCACTCATTCCCCTCAGAGTTCTAAGTACAATTATGAGTGGTTGACCAGAGAATGTAACCAGAACACACTGAGCATCTTCTTCAAAGTAAACAGAAAAGAATAATAGTAATTGTAAGGAAATATATAAGTATCAGATAAATACTTATGTGGTTTTAATTTTACTCATGCTGTCATGGAGGAGTTCAGAATTTATGCAATAACAGACTTAGGTCCTGAAACAATCTGAATATTATGGAGATGTATTTTAGTGTGTAACGTATCTATCACAGTAAATTTCCCAGAAATGAACTAGGCATGGAATTTAAGAAGAGGGACATAAAGATGGAACAATATGTGTTAAGTCATTACTAAAATTGAAGACAATAGCGCTGGAGGGGAATTTCAGTCAATAGGTCAAACATTTGGGAGCCAGTTATGAGTTTGTACATTACATCCTTAGAGAAGTGGGAGGCATTTATTTCAAACATGATGTTAGGAAGGAAGATGAGCATGTTTAAACATTTTCAGGCAGAAATGGCCAGGTTAAATTGGAAGGGGGGACAAGAAAACATAAAACTGTACTCTAGCTGATTTTTAAAGAACATCAGTGAGCTTGACAATTTTAAAAGATGTGAATTGTGTGGAATTGTGATGTGTAGATGGCAGATTTTTCTCTTTTTGTGAAGTTGATTTGGGCATGTTGGCAAGAAAGAGGTTTGAAGGTGCACACCCCTGTCTCTAAAGTGATGAAATTACTTTATGATGGAGACTTCCGTTAAATTTGGAGCCCTGTAGGGAGAGCCATTTGAAAGGGAAAGACCTGAATCCATTCTGTTTATGTGGAGTTTGTGGGTCCTTAATTTTCCAGGAGCCAAGTGGATATTTTTTCAATTGATGTAAAGTACTGCGAATTCAACAATTTGAAAAACAAAATAATTATTTTGACCAAAGGATGTATGTATTGGAACTTGTACCACAGAAATAAACCTATATTTTTAGTCACATGAGACACTTAAATATTTACAACCAATTGGATCACAAGTCAAGAAGGAAAAAAATAGATGTGTAGACACACATACACCTACAACTGTGTATATAAATGTATTGTCTGTGTGTGATCTGTGTGTGTAGATGTATATGTACATGTGCATATAAAGTCAATCATGTTTATTGTCAGTCTATATATTGGAAGCCTGTACCTTAAGAAAAATTTAAATAGTACTAATTGTAATAACGACAAATCTTAAAATGTATGTTATATAATATGTGTATTGTCATGCCAGTTGGACAATTGTTAAAACTTCATAATTCTATTTCTCATTTTCCTACTTAAATTATATTATTTGGCAATATCTCTCGAAAAAACATCCAGTGAAGAAACTAAAACATGTTTGATTTTAGAAGTAATTAACCTAAGTTTAAGGTAATAATTGATATATTTGAGTATCAATAGAGTTTATTTATTTTCTTATTTTATCTAAGGTAACTTTTCTCTATTATTTGTAAAATATATTTCTGTGTTATAAATCTACAATATGATTGACCCCTTTTTCTTTGAAAGTTGTATACTGATTCTTCTGATTATTTGTTAGTTTTTATCTAGAAATTTCAGCATGCTTTTAAAAGCTAATCACAGTGTCACTCTATTTAATACTATTAAACCCCATCTTTTCAATACAAGGACATCACAACACTAATCTATTCACCATATCCTACATTTTCCTTTTTTGAGGAAGATTAGTCCTGAGCTAACATTTATGCCCATCTTCCTCTACTTCATATGTGGGACACCTGCCATAGCATAGCTCGATAAACAGTGCATAGGTCCTCACCCAGCATCGGAACCCCGGGGGCACAGAAGAAGAAGGTGCGAACCTCACTGCTGCGCCACCTGGCGGGCCCCCTCACCATAC